AAGATTTATTGTATAAGTTTATTTGTTATAGTTGTGTAGTTTTTGTAACTCTGAAATGGTAAAATTTTTGTTTGTATTTATATTCTTCTGTAGTATTATTATTGAGTATTGTGTATGTATCTGGCAATCCTGTATCGGGTATTGTGTAACCGGAAATAAAGTATTATTATTAGCATTATTATTATTACATTTATTGTACATATCTGTAGGATATGAAGTGTGGGATATGAAAGAGAGTGTCACTTGGTATGTATCCTGCACGTCGATTAGGTGCTCACTTAAAAAACAGTCAACGTGACTTAGCTCCAGCGTAGCCATTTTGTTTAATAAAAAAAAATTTTCACGTACCCGAAGATATGTACAGTAAATGTATTTTAACAGACTTCGCATTTACTTCATCATTTTCGGAAAAGAAGTTGCCAACAAATGTATTTTATTTTTAGACTCCAAAGTGGACTAACCCCTTAACCCAATTCCTGATTGAAGTTCACCTATGTTTAAAAGCGTCTGATCTTATTCTTTAAGTCTACCATAGTTTTCAACTAAATACCACAGAAAGTAGCGAAGAAAAGGCGAAAGAGCTAAAGAATGTACAGGTCGAAAAAACAAAACAGGAACTTCAGATTGAGATTTATACGCCGATATTTAAACGTTTGTGAAACCTACTATTACCTGAAAGTTAAGGGTCCTGTTTTATTGAGACCGAAAATAATCGCGTCTCGAGACGAGGGTTAAATCATGAATAGACAGTGAACCATCATGCAAATTTAAATTTCTCTACGCTCTCGATAAAAACTGGAATTAAACAGAAATTTGTATCCTCTATTACATGTTTCAAATAATAAACAGTATGTAACATATAAATCTTATCGAATATACCTGCGTTTAGACATTACTTTCCTCCTGTATCTTATAAATGCTCAAATCCTCACAGTCTACTCATAACAAACGTGTCATTAATCGCATTTTATCAATCGAAAATCAAAACATAACACTTTTAATCTATCAGCCACAGAATAGCCCTTGTGTTCAATAAATTGTTGCATTTGAATTAAACCTGATCTACGCTAAAATCGAATTAACGAAAAATATTCACAGATCATTTGATCGTTTCATGTAGTAAACTACTGCTATCAAATTAATTAACAAATTTCTCTAATAAAAAATACAATTAAAGAGTAAAGTCTGACTTTGGGTTCAATTGTACCCGAACAGTGTACTAGGGAGAGATTTAATTTAATTTAATTTAATTTATTGCCATTAACGGGAAGACCCATTTTATACAAAAGTTTAACAAGAAAAAAGCATCGTGTAACACTATTTGTAGTAGTTTAAATATACATATACATGTTACTTTCGCAATATCCGGTAGATGGAAGTTTTGACTTTATCTATTGTTTCTGAGAAAAATTCAATTTGGTTATTAAATTAATATTTTTGTTGGCTATATTGCATATTCTGTCTATTGTATCTGTGTGTTTGTACCTGAATCTGTAGGAAGTAGGGTAGAATAGATTGAAATGACATCGCTGCACGAGAGGGTACGTGAAAATTTATTTGGTTCTTTTTTTCGCGAACGTAGGTTTTCACACATGTAGATTGTTAACCCCAAGAAATTTCTTTCAAAGACACGACGGAAAGCTTCAACCCAGAACAATTCAGCACGAAACTGTCCATCATGATAACCGGACACTTTGGAAACTGGTCGTGACGCACTATTCTTTTTTCTCTCGATTATCCGTTACGCTCAAGCAACACGATTTTAACGACCGGCTGGCGGCGCAACGTGGAACCGGGACCATCAATTTTCCCCGGCGTTATAAATATTCGATACCGCCGGAGTTTATAAAATAACGTCCGCAACAATGTCCCCGTCTAGACTACTCGTCTGGTGGTCTTCTTGCGCGGATCTAGGACTTTTTTCCCGTGTTTCCGATCGGCAAGAACTAAATAAGTGTCAGATCGTTCTTCGATTAGTTCCGTTTGGTGTTTCGTTCCCTTTTTTCGAACAAAATATATACAGGTCTTTGTGTCAGGGTGATCATCGCGATTGGTGGTCCCTGTTCTGAAGAAACAGCGTTGGACCATTTTCTTCTGTATTGTTCTATTAGTCGAGACGCGAAAAAGGTAAACTGATCAGCTACCGTGAAATAAAAAGTGAAGGAGGCTGATCGTATTATCATATACATATTGCTCTTTAAATTCCAACGTGGAATATACTAACAGGCCGAGATAGTTAGGTTAATATTAAAATCAATATGTAATAAGCACATTAAAATTCACGAAAAAATGTACCTCTTAGATTCTCTTTCCTCACAACTTGCTCTCATTTTCTGCATTCGATAGATATCCATTCGATAAAATAGTTCTTTAATTTTAGAGTAAAATGTTTTCGAGTCTCGTGTCTCATAATACCAACGTTTTTTTACTTTTTTAACAGCTACAGGACATTGTATAGATTTGAGGAAATATTTCAGTACGCTAATAAGGAACTTCGTGAAGTATCACTCCCCCACAATTTCGCTCAAAATGATCAAAATTCTTTTAGACTGTACCGTTGTAAAATAAGGAATATGCCAGAAAAAATGTTAACAACAACGATTTTTATACAAATCATACGTCACCCGTTTATAGGTTCTTAAAGACAGTAAAATTTTCATCTTTAACACGTTTTTACTCCTCCTACCCCTTACGCAGTCATATACGAATGAATAAAAAAGTGAACGTCCATAAAATAAGTGGTTTCCCCCGCAAAGTCTAAAACGGGAATCAACCGGTCACGTAAAAATTCTTAGGTTTAATCACTGAATAACGATATAAAGCTCCATAAAACCATCGGGAATTGGCAGCTCGCGAATGTTCCCTATAACTACGACAAAAAGATTTATAGTTCGACGCATATCCTTTTTTGATCGTGTTATATCACACGTAGTCCAATCTTGTCGTATTCAATTAAGAATCCTAACCACTTCATTGCTCTATTACTTTCACCAATTTATCCGAACAAACATTAAAAATACACACTCGCTAATAAATCAAAGTAGTGTACAAAATTCTTTGGTTGTGGTGTCCCCGGGGATCATTTTATACACATACGTTACAAAATCCTCCTTAAGTATGCCTTCAAAGAAATGTGAATAAAAAATGTAATTGATCGCGTAGCTAAATTTTATTTAAGCCAATGATAAGAGAGATAAACTAACTTACAAAAACTACTTTACTTTTATTTAAATAATCAGCATTTGTATTTTTTATATAAATTACACGTTAAAGGGATCGTTTTAGACACCTTTCCCCTACATGGGATTCTGGAACGATCTAACAAGAAGTTGGGGGGGGGGGTTAGTGCCAAGATCCAGAGATACCGAAGTTTTTCGAGTTTTTCCCGTCCAATGTTACAAGAAACGAGGCCTGACAAATGGCGAGGCAGGAAATCGACCGTGGTCCATGGACCGCGTAACGAGCCACGCGGCGGCACGGCGATCGAACCGGCGATTTTTGTTGGAAAGCTTATATCGAGAGAAATGACGTCGGCGGGGCCCTCCGCCTGTCGCGGAAAATGTCAAGGCCTCCTTTCCATTCGTCGCGGGATGCTTTTTCTCGCGGGCACGCGAACACGCAACCGTCGAAACGGAAAAAAAAAAAAAGAAGAAAAAACAAATCTCCACGGACAAATGTCGCGGTCGATTGTCTGCTAATGCATCGATCGTAAATCTCTCCGATTTCCATCGGCGTCGACGGCCTGGTAGCGCGATAGTTTATCTAATTACGCGAATGGGAAACGTTGCATTGGCGAAACGCTTCGTCTGTTTCGAGAACAGTACGAAAAAACTGACCACGGTGACTACGATTTCTCTTAACAAGGATCCATCAATTAACGTCCGGTGTTATCTGTCAACGGCTGAACCGAATAAATCGACGATAGCGTAAACTAGTTTGGTTCATAGAGTGGAACTGTTTTCGTGTATCGATTGAGATTTCTGAATAGATATGAAGGGGAAGAACGATGAGAGTCCGTAAAACTTGATTTTTCAGAAATCAAAAAGAAAACTTTTTTACCTGTGGCAGTATTCTATTCACATAAATCTTTCCAGTGGTAGGAAAAGCAATTTTAGCGATTTTTTTGTTCTCAAACCCCTAAAAACAGGAATTTTGACTTTTCCAAGTTCTCTAACTGATGATTTTGTCGTTTTCGAACTCTTTGAAACCACGATTTCGAATATTCCAAGTCTTGTAACCCGTTATTTTCGCATTTTTGAACCCTTCAAATAGAAATTTTGACGTTTTCAAGTACCGTAACCCTTCATTCTGCGAGGGGAAAAGAATAGTATACGTCAATAGAAAAATCAGTGTATTTTAGTAAAACTGAGTAAACATTTAAAGAAGTTGAAGATTGAAATGAAAAAGTTGAAATCACAATCCAGACTTATACAGCAATGTGTGACGAACGTTTCCGAAACCATAAGACGTTAGTGAACCGTTTTAAGGTCCAAGAAGATCGACAACATTAGGAAAATGAAAAGTGTGATACCCCACAGTATCAGTGTATCATTCCACCCCTGATGAAACTAATATCCTATAAGACATTCGGACAATCTTTCCAGAAGTATTAGGCTCATACCCGAAAACCTGAACAGTACCAAGTGTACCATGCTAGTCCACGAAAGACCAAAAATCTCCGATTAACACTAGAACTACCGACAATAATCGCACATCTATATCAATAAACATGATAAACGTGTGAAAATGAACGAATTAATAAATTAACTGATTTCGTCACTCCCTTATCAAATAAAACTTGCCAAAGATCTGAAGAATTGTATGGCTATAATATTTTAGTCACCGTTATAAGAATGTGACAACCAGTCATTTTGACTGCTGTGGTAGTTCTAGTGTTAAGAACCACAGGGTATATTTGACCGATAAAGTTCTCCAATTGAAATTACACCGAATCCGTCGAGTGAACGTGTGTTAAATTGAAAACAATGGCTTCTAGGTACCTGAAGAAGTCCTCCCTGCAGAAGAGTTTCGCCTCCCTGGAGAAGCACTTGTCCTGCAACGCGGTTCTGCAATCGAAGCAACGGACGCACTCGATGTGCCATGCTCGGTCCAAAACATTCAGCAGGTACTGATCCATAATTGGTTTGTCGCATCCTGCACATGACAGGAGCATCGCCAAACCGCGTCTCCCTGCTGCGAAAAGAAAGAGAGCAATTCGTTGAATAATTTTCGCCCGCGAACAGTGGAGGGGATTTTCGGACGCGAATTTTGCTAATTTCGGTGTCGGGTTTTCTCGTCGAATTACGCGCGTTTCGGATGGAGCGTGCAGTTGATAAATATCAGTTAAAAAGCGAAACGTCGAGGAACGATGATATAGAACAACCGCTCGCGACTTGACGAGCCGTTTTAATTCTGGTTGCGCGCGCTCGAACGAGTCGCCATCGCGCGACACCGTGGAAAACGAACGAGAAAATCGAGGAAATCCTGGGCGAACGCGTTCGGAACGGTCGTTTATTTCAGGACTGCTTCAGGTTTTGATTTGTAATATTTTAGACTTCGAGACTGAAGTGTTTTTCTGGGTTTTTAATTAAGAACTTCGGAGGATTATTTACACTGATATTTTAAAATATTACATGCTTGCTATAAAATGTGTAGTAAATGCATTAAATCTTACGAATGATTTGATATCTCTTACTTTGTTCCTGTACGTGGTTTTTCAGACATCGTGGTAGAAAGAAGGTAATTCCTCGTGTAAGAGTAAATCGAAAATATAGAATAACATTTTTTCATAAGGAGCTCAAATTTCTAGAAAAACTAGTTTGATGATTCAAAACACATGTATTCGTACTGGGAGTAAGTAGAAACAGAATGTAATGAACAGACGCAGTAGCCAAGTCCTATTCAGTCGTACGCGTATCCAGCTGATTTTGAAATTCGATTACTTTAGAGACGAAGCATCACACGAAAGAATTTTCTTGTGTATTTTCTACTGATGACAATAGTCACCCATCACAATATAAGAAACGCTCAAAGTCTGACTATAGTCACCGCCAATAACGAAAGGGTTAAGCATTCCATAGTTCACTGATACTTTAACTAACTCGCTGTATTTTAATTTTCATGTTCGTTCAATGAAATTATTCCTTTCTCTTCGAAGTCAATACCGGATCGGGTGAATGAGCGTTGCTGACGATCCGAATGAACGGCAGACGAACAATTAGGCACCGGTTAAGCGGAAACGGAGCACGTGCTCTCGATCACTTTGAAACATTCTCGATTACCGGCCAGATTCCAATTTGAAGGAAAAATCCCCGCAGCCCGACTCGCCGTGGCCGAGCACGTGCATAACGAACCCGCGCGCATTGTCCGCCGAGTTTTTGTAATTCAAACACGGTTTGATTACCGTGCAGTCTACCGAACCCTCGGCCGCCGAACACAGCCGAGAGAGGCGCGAGCGTAAAAGTGCAACACAATGCGACTTCCTCTATTGTTAAACGGCCAGTCGGAGCTGCGCGTCTACGCGACCCGTGCGAAACGATCGGGTTTTCACGAACGATTAGGAACGAATAGGGAATCGATGATAGGGGATAGTTGCTTATATTGCGTTCCCTGAATCGTACCTCATCGATTTCTTCATAATTAATAAATATAAACGACGTCTGAAAGTAAAGGTATAAAATAAATAAATTTAAAAAATTCAGATATGGTTGATCTAACTCATGACAAATATACAGGGTGTCTCATCCGATTTTAACATCTTGATTTTCTCGCTATTGGTACTCGTAGCAATAAATGTTTTAGCGGAAGATTGAATGGTATCGAGTGGAGCATATTCTGATGTTATTAGTTTTTTCGTGAGTAGACGCGTAAAGGTCATATAAAGGTCAACTTTGTTTTTTTAAATAGAATGAGGTATTTTTTAATACATCAATCGATGCAGCTGGACATTCGTTATAAAAAAGTACTAATCTATGTATGTCTAAGAGTTAGTACTTCAGGAGATATTTCAATTTAAATAATTCTAAAATACCATTACTCTCTTGTAAATAGATTGCAGGTGTTTATAGAGATTCAGTGGTTTTTAAAAATATTCGAATAAATTAGAGAATATAATAATCATATTTACACGCAGAGTACGAGATTTAAATGACTTCATGGAACACGGTATAAATTTCAGTAGAGCCAATTGCAAACCGTATACCGTTAGTAACTGTATAAATAATTACAACGCTCAGGCGTAGAAACAGTTTAACAAACCCAGTAATCACATTCGGTCGTTCGCGCGTAGATCCATTAACTGTCAATAATCATTGAACGCTTCAACGTACATATTTGTACTCCGCGAGTCACGTCGATAATTATAATACGTTCCCAATGCTAAGGATTGCCCTTTATTACGCTTTCTTCGCTTCTACATCTGTCTCCCTCTGTTTCTGTGACGTCGTTCTCGCTCACTCCCGATCTCTGACTTCTTTTTTCGCCATTGCTGAACCCTCTCGGGGTTCACTCCTCTCCTTTTTTCGCGGTTTCCGCCAATGGGCGTTCCTCCCTGCCGGCAGGGTTGTCAACCTAGCAACCCTTCTCCCCACCCTTGAAGCTCTGACCTTGCGCATCTCATCTCCGTCGGTCTCACCGGGGTGGGCGAGAAGAAAAAGGAGAATGCGAAGTCGACGCGGCGCAGGGGCCCCGACCACCCTGCAGTTACCTCGAGATTTAAATCGTTCCACGCGAAAATCGACTTACGAGTAATTCCTCCGGCGAAATTGGCTTCTCAAGAAAATTCCGTGTTTCGCGAAAAAGAAAATCTAACGGCTGAGCCCGCGGAATTCATCAGCGAACGACCTGGGCCCATTCATTGTGAGATTTAGAGAAAAGGAAGACGAAGTTTCATTTTTTAAGGTTCGAAACTTTCGTTTTTAAAGAAATGCGGTTTTTAGGACAATCCAAGTACACGTGCACTTAACTGATATCTGACTTCGGAGATGTGAATATTGAGGTTTTTTATTCATACTTGGCCTTTTTACGAATATTAACACTAGAACTACCGACGATAAACGCATCTTTGCTTCGATCGGTGGGTAAACGTGAAAAACTTTTGAAAATTTAGAAATTGACTAATTTCTTCACTTTCATATCGGAATAAGAGGTGCAAAATATCTGAGAAAATGTATTGTCATAACATTTTAATCGTTGTTGTAAGAGTGTATTGACAAGTCATTTTGACTTGCTTGGTAGTTCTAGTGTTAAGGACATCGACACTTCCGTATTGTAACACGTGAAGGAAGAGAAACATAGTTGAATAAGTGTATACTTGACAAATTTTCAATATTGATTCTGACAGATACTAAAGACTATACAAAATTATATTCTCCCTTTTCAATTATTTTTTTTTCAGGAAGAATCACATTCTATTAGAGTTAGACACAATTTTCATTTGATTAATGCACAATGGAAAGCAGCAGTATATTAGAGAGTTATCCGGACCTTTAAACGGTTAATAAAATTAAATAATTGTTCGCTAAGTGTCTACTTATTCAAGAAGCAGTATTATTTCATTATCAAAAACTGGAATTTCCACGTTTAATCGACGAAAAATAACGAACACAGTAAACCTCAATAACCTACAGTAAATCCTCGATATGTGTTCGAAGGCATCTCAGCACTAAACCTTAAATATTTCATAAACTAATGGCCATATGCGACCAAAACAAATACCATTGGCTTCAGAATTCCAAGCTCTATCATTGTGCAAGACGTGATTAAAAAGTCAGTGTTACATCTGGGGACCCCTGCTTGTCAGTGCCAAAGAGCCTTCGAACACTCATTGAGAATTTACTGTAATGTCTTCTCTTAATTCCCCAACAATTTACGGAACCATGTATTTAAAAGAATTTGAGAAAGTAGAATGGAAGCAACGTAAAGCCAGAGATCTCCGCAATAAATTCGACCGTGGGAAAGATTTGAGCGAGATAACGCTATCAGAAATTCATCCCCTAACGCAGTTGACCTTCCATTTCCGAAATCAGATACCGCCGGCCGATTTCACGGGCGAGACGAAAAAGGATGGAAACATTTCCCCGAATCTTCCGAACCAGATTAGGATTAACGTCTACGTGAGACGAATGCTTGAATTCTGTATCTGCGCCGAAAACGGTTCGATTAATCCGATTCCCACCCCGTGAAACGCGCGGCGTCGCGTGCCACCTTTTGCCGTAACCACGTTATCGAATCAATAACAATTCGAAAACGCTACAAAGCACGTTCGAACGCTATTCTATTTGGAATCGTGCGTCGAAATTTGATTGCGGGACGCCCCGGCGTTTATTCTCCCTCGTGTCGAACACGCTTCGAATTAACCGCTCCGAAAATTTCCCCCTAATTCGACGGGAGATAGTGAAATTAGAAAACGATATCTAATTAATCAATGGTGACGAGGAAAATAAGAGAATGGCGTTTTAAGTTACAAAACTGTGTGTCGTTTGTACTATCGATCGAAATGGTGGCGACGGATGGAAAAAGAGAAACACAATTGATCAATGTGACAGTGGGGTAATTAATGGTCCCTTCTTTACAATTAACATGTTCATTATCGTATTCGACCTAAATCGGATAAGAATAGCATATAAAACACCGTAACCGACTTTACCATTATAAGATCGCGCGCTGATGAACTCGGTTTTTCTTGTAGTTTAATAGTTAAACCACGGATAGTTACGCAAATTCACACTTTCCTGACTATCGTATAAAAATCAATGTTTAAAAGAATACCCGTTTTACCTAGTAACCCTCATCCATCCCTCATTTTCCCAACTTAATTTGTCCCTCGATGTCAAATTGACCCAGTGATTAAAATTAATATAACGAAGTTATAAATAGTTAAATTTGCAAATTCTTTAAAGTAAAAGTCACGAAGCGTCAGCTAAATTTATTTACACATGAAATAATAACGTCATTTCTTTAGAGAAAACTGTGTCAAATTGACACAAGGGATCGATGAGGGTTAAGACATTTATTCAATGAAAAATGAATTAAAATTTCGATCAGTTTTGGTTAAAATTATTACACTGTATTCCATACATTACGAATTCCGCAGTCTATAAATATTATATACAATAATCTGCCGACACTGAACGTGTTAAACAGAAACCTTGAATGGTTTCCAAAAAATGGCGA